ATATATATATATATATATACTATGTACAAAAAATGAATGTTCAATGAATTATTTATGGTGCATTAGAGTACTGGTCACTTCTGATGGGCTATAAATAGCCTTCTTTATCTCCCCTACATCTCACCCCTGAGCCAGGCGGAAGGGTCTTGATAACATGTTTGCTTATTTTCCATTTACTTTAAATAGATTTACCGAATTATTTGTTTTATTTATTTATTTATAATATACTGTAATATATTAAACACACTAATTATTTTCTTTAATTTATAAACTGTTTTGCGACAAAGGAATGTTCTCCAGTAGTGTTTCATTAGGATTTGAGTGAAAAAAAATATTACGTACTTACACAATTGTTCCTCTTACTTTGACAACACAACATACATACAGTATATTATTTCTCAGTTTTGATCTTTTTTTTTTAATTTTGTATTTATTTATAGTTAGTTACTTAAAATAAGGCCAATTCACTTCAAGTAATGGCATCAAATATTACCAGCTGGTGTAGTGTAAACACTAGTGGCGTCACTTGGCGTCTGTAATTAACCGTCGATAGTTTCAAGAATTAATGCAGTCATTTACTGAATATTCTTTGGAAAAAAATAAAATTTAAATCAATTATTTATAGGAGATAAATATTATTATGAGTAAATATACGATACGGTATGCATTACTGACCACCTCCACGGCTCCTCACTGGCAAATGGGGGGGCGTGGGAAGGGTGTGTGATGATAGCTGTGTTTATTATAGGTATAAATCTCTTTTACGGTATGTTAGACAGGTTTATAATACATTTTATTATTTTAATATACCGGTAATCTTAATTTGAATCCAGCTTGCTAAGCGTAGTTTCAGTATAAAATAATTAGTGGTAAGACCTTGTGAGTGGCTTACGATGTTTTCATCACCACTCTTGACACACTAAACACAATATTTAAGAGGTAAGAATTTTAAACTTGGTGGTTTAGGCGACCCCTAACTTTGGGCAGATTTTTTAATGTTCAAATTTAGTCTTATAGGCCGTGATATCTGATGAATTAAAAAAAAAAAAAAAATTAATAAAAATCTACAGTGAAATACAGTACAGTAAAAGTAATGAATAATGATGAATGGATCCAGTACAGTGAAAGTAATAAATAATAAGGATTGGATAGTGTGACTGAGCACTTAACCTTTAATGTAGTCAGCTGAATGCATGGGGCCCCATAATTTTCTAATTATACATGGAGACTACCTAAACTGGACGTTTGGTATAGAAAATCGTGTGTCATTTAAATTTTTTTTTTTTTTTTTTTTTTTTATCTATATCTGAGGCGTAATTAAGTCCCGGCCAGTAAATGAATCACGATAATTAATGAGTCGGGTATGCTATAACGAACGTAATTGGCAGAACCTGGATTCGTTATAGCATTAATTCGTTATAGGATTAATCCGTTCAGGCCCCCAAATACAACCATAACACTGAAAAAAAATTCTGCTTAAATCTTAAAAAATACAGTGCTTTATCTTACCTTAGTGTTGTTCAGCATGCAAGGGACAGGAGCAGAGGGAGGGAGGAGGGGGAGGAAGAATTATTGAGAAAAGAGGTGGAAGGAAGGTGTCCTTCCCTGGCCCTCTTGGTGACTGACTGTCTCACAGGCACTTTGTCTGTATGTTCTTTGGTATCTTTGTAAGAAAGGCGTTATCAGGGTTGGCTGCTTCAACCTTGATTTCTGGACCTTCCAAAAAGTAGTTCATAACATTGTCATTGAACACACTGAGTGGCCTTTTACTGGGAACCAACATCGGATGATAATCCTCCATGGCTTGGACAGTTTGCTCCGGCAAAAAACGCATCCTTAGAGATATCTTTGGCTGGAATGATCACTGACACTACTCCGCTTCTCCTCCTCCTGACTCCTCAAGTTAGCTCCTTCAGTGTCTAGATTTTCCTCTTTGTGAAACTCAGCTTGGCTCCTCAGTGGACAAATTCCTTGCATTAGCTCTTCCATAACTCCTCAACATCAAGTAATCATCCACTTCAAAAGGCCATGATTTGAGCTTGCAAATTTCTGTAGTTTTAACCAACTCTTGTTCCAACTCTTGAAGCACTTCCAAAGAACTCTTTTGAAGGACACATTCAAAAACCTGTTGGCCTTAAACACTTCAAGAACACCTCACAGTAACCTCTTTCCCAGGTAGGGCCAGTCAAAAATCTGGCATCTCTATAGTGAGTGAGCTCTTCCAAGAATTTCCTTCCATTCAACATCACTGGAAGTGAGACAAACATTTTCTAAACAATTGCCTTTGTGTTTGCAACTAGCAAGTTAGAAATTACCTGTTGATCCACTTCTGGGCTGGACAGGAGGTGGTGTGTTGGGTGGCAAGAAGTGCACAGTGGTGAGTTCCAACTCTTTCCTAGCAATTCAGCCATCAGTGAGAGGTGAGCTGGGTGCATTGTCCATCACCAACAAAGCTTTAGTGGAAGATTGGTATTCTCCTTGGGGGTATTCTGACACTGGAGTTGGCCTCAATCACCTCAGAGAATAAATTCCATGATCCACCCCAAAACTTTTTGGTTTTGACCTGTCTAACCTCAGGCAGGTCTTCCTAGTGTTTTTAAGCTCTGGGGTTTCTGCATGGTACACAAGGTACATTTCTTTTTGAATCTTCCAGAAGCATTAGCACAAGAAGGAGGGTGGCCCTATATGCAAATGGCTTATGGCCGGGGACAGAATTTCCTCATAGTGGCCTTATGTCTGGCGGGGCATTTTTCCAAAGTAATTGGGTTTCCATGCAGTTGAATACCTGCTGGCTCAGCCTCACTGAAATAATATTCAAAAAAATGTCATGATGTTCATAGCTGCTTCCTTGGCACTAACCCAGCATCACCATATCTCCACAACCTTCTGTATTTTATTTCTTCTTCTGAAACAATGTAGCACCGCATTTCAGCTTTGGCACTATCACTTGCACAAAGGAGTCCGCCGCTTTACGCAGGTCCTCAAGCAATTTGTCTGGCAGCTTCTCACAAATTAACAAACTTTAAAATGCATCACCTGCCCATTTCTTTCTCCTTTATCCACACTAAGGAGTAAATTTTTCCATCTCCTCCGATACATTACCTTGCTTTACACTGAATCCCTAGAGATTCACAACCACTTTTTCATTTTTCAACTCCTCTTTATTCTTTTTAAATCATTACCTTATAAGTGGAGTTTGGCCATCCCATACTCATCTTTAAGTTTTGCAATACTTGTTCCATCCTCACATTTCTTTATGATTTCTTTGTAGTTTCAAAGAGTGCCAAAACACCTCTCGCTTTGAGCAGTTCGTGTCTGGTGTACACTTTTATAACAAAATATTTATACAAATAACTCTATTTCCACATCAAAAAGCGAAATTTCAACAATAACAGTGGTGCACTATTTTTTCAATGAGACAAAGTGGCGCCCTGGCAGCTCTTATTTATTAGATGCAATTACAACAATATTCATCATCCAGTAAAATAATCGACCATTCATCCGCGTTCGTTGTAGGAGTTGCGTTCATTATAGCATTCTCAATTTTAGAGGTAAAACCATTCGTTATAGGAATATTCGTAGTAGGATCCGTTCGTTATAGCATACCCCACGTGTTTTCTTCTTTCCTTGTGGTTATCATATATATATATATATATATATATATATATATATATATATATATATATATATATATATATATATATATATATATATATATATATATATATATATATATATATATATATATATATATATATATATATATATATATATATATTTTTTTTTTTTTTTTTTTTTTTTTTTGGGATTAGCCCACCCGGGCACAGGTCAGTGACCCAAATCAGGGCCTGGGGGCGAAGATATATAATAATAATAATAATAATAATAATAATAATAATAATAATAATAATAATAATAATACCCGGTAATAATAATAATATCTATATAAAACAAAGAAGTCTGTGTGTTTGTTTGTGTGTGTGTCCGCACGAGAATCTCAGAAACTACTTTACCGATCTGTAGTGATGATGGATGGTGTTATATGTAGTGATGATGGATGGTGTTATATGTAGTGATGATGGATGTTGTTAAATGTAGTGATGATGGATGGTGTTATATGTAGTGATGATGGATGGTGTTATATGTAGTGATGATGGATGGTGTTATATGTAGTGATGATGGATGGTGTTATATGTAGTGATGATGGATGTTGTTAAATGTAGTGATGATGGATGGTGTTATATGTAGTGATGATGGATGATGTTAAATGTAGTGATGATGGATGGTGTTATATGTAGTGATGGATGGTGTTATATGTAGTGATGATGGATGGTGTTATATGTAGTGATGATGGATGATGTTAAATGTAGTGATGATGGATGATGTTAAATGTAGTGATGATGGATGGTGTTATATGTAGTGATGATGGATGGTGTTATATGTAGTGATGATGGATGATGTTAAATATAGTGATGATGGATGTTGTTATATGTAGTGATGATGGATGATGTTAAATGTAGTGATGATGGATGGTGTTATATGTAGTGATGATGGATGGTGTTATATGTAGTGATGATGGATGATGTTAAATATAGTGATGATGGATGTTGTTATATGTAGTGATGATGGATGATGTTAAATGTAGTGATGATGGGTGGTGTTATATGTAGTGATGATTAGACAATAAAATAATAGCAAATTCCGGGGATGAGAGATTTTTTCCGGCTTTAAGAGAGTTGTCTCGTTACCCAGAAATCTCTCATTCCCGGAAGTGATCTGCACCAATTGTTCCGGGTAATGGGGATATCACTGTATTGTAATATTGTATGTATATATGAAGACCCTTTAATACGAAAAGTAAGAAAAGAAAGAACAGTTGTAAGTGAGTTTTTGTTATTTTGGAATAGACTATAATAGCAATTTAAAGTTGGAAATTTTACATAAATATGAAAACAATTTATATTAAGCTGCTTATCTTATTTATTTGTCTTTTTTTTCAGTATTATGGCATTCCTCAGCACTTTGGAATATTCTATGCCATGGGTGGGTCACTCATTATGGAAGGTTTTCTCAGTGCCTGCTACCATATATGCCCCAATAACTCTAACTACCAGTTTGGTGAGTTCTTACCATAATACTGTATGTTGTTGGTTAGCCTTTATTCTAGAGCTGAAGAATTTTGTGCAAGGGAAGGAAGTTGTTAGTAGAAAAATGTGTAGAAATATTTTGAAAACATGTAAGGTTGATAGATCGAGTCAGGTTTTGACAGAAAAACGATAGATCATAAGAACCAGTGATATTAAGCCTAATCAGTTTGATGGATACACCCAACAGAGAATACAGTGATATGAACGTCAATTTAACAGATATAGTCTATTCTATGGAGGTTTCATGTCTAACGAACCTTCATCTAACAGACTACCCTCACCTATATACTGTACAGTGAGTTCTGCTATAACGCGTGTTTTGATAACGCGAATTTGCTCTAACGCGATTTATGAATAGAGGAACGATATTTGTATAACGCGAACGCTTGTTTGCTGTAACGCGATTTTTGGTTACTATTTCTCCAATTTTGTGGTATTAACTGTGAATATGGTAAAGAAGAATATCACCAAGAAGCGTTCTGGTGATCGAATTCCTGGTGATGATCGTAAAAGAAAGGATATAACACTTGAAGAGAAGCTCGATGTTATCAACCTCAAAATCACCCTTCTCCCCCATCAAGTTATATTCATATTTTTTCAAGGTAAAGTGTTACATTTACTGTATGATTTCATTATTAGATATGAATGTAACATTTATTTAGACTGTGCTATCCTTTGTGTTAGGCTAACTACTAATTTTTTTTCGATTTCGAGTAGTAATCTGCACCTAACCCTATTTTCTCCATAAGCCCTGTTATTTCTATTACGCGATTTTCTATAACACGATATTTTACAAGAACACAACTATCACGTTATAGCAGAACTGACTGTAGTCTGTTAGCTGGAGTTTTCACACTGTACTGGTACATGTATTATTAAGGCATTATGTATTATTTTAGTTTAATAAAGAAAGCAGTTGCTTTCTTTTGGGAATTTTTTTATTGTGTAACTTGGTTGTAAAAAGAAGTTAGTAGTTTAACAGGGAAAATTTGCTGAAAAAATATTACATCAGCTTCCTTTAAGTGACAACAACAGTCATGGTGAAGAAAAAAATTTGCAGGTGAGCCCTTTGTTTTGTAGTGGTCGAAGACATGAATTCAGGTACCTACTGTAAGTTTATTTGGATAAAGGAAATGTTTAGAGAATTCAGCACTGATATATAAAGGCTGTAAATGAAGACTACTATCATGGTGTTGGAAGTCGAAGCCATATAATTTTTTTTTTTAAATTTAAGGTGTTTTAATATAAGTTTCTGTCTATGGATGGGGTATGGTTAGGTTAGATTTCCAAAGTTTTGGTCATGTTGTGAATTTTTTCCAAGAACTACGATGCTGTGCATATAAGGAAGTAGTGTACTGTAAAGTACAGGGCTACAGGGCAGAAGTATGGATATTTTCACCTCATTGCTGGGGCAGAATTGAGGTAAAATATAAAAGGTGTAGGGTTGAGGGCAGTAGGAGGTGCTAAGACTGTGTTATCTTGGAATGGAACGGAACATTGAACAGTAAACTAAATACAGTGCGTCATAGTGCACTGTACAGTCAACCCTCACTTTACGCGGTTAATTCAACCCACAGGGTACCGCGGAAAGTGAGAAACGCGTAAAGTGAACAACATAATATATGGGATTACAGTGACCCCTCGTTTAACGAACTCAATCCGTTCCAGAAGGTCGTTCGTTAACCGAAAAGTTCGTTAACCGAAACCATTGTTTCAATGAGTTTTTGGGTAATTGGTTCCAGCTCACCGAAAATTTCCTAAATTCAACAAAAATGGTAGAAAAGTTCACTTACTTTGAGGTGTGTATGTAGAAGGCTCCTGGATAATGATGATAATGATGGGAATTAGAATGGTGGTGGAGGAGAAGGGAGAAGAGAAGGCATTGGGGTGGAAGAGAAGGCACCCCATGGCGCCATTTCACCCATAAAATTTTAGTTCTCTTGGTGTAATTCAAGGTTATTTGCTTTAAATCAACACTGCACTGCATTATATATTGTCAATATGTAAAATAAATTTCAAAATGACCAATAATTTGCTTGGAAACACAGAAAAAACGCATTCAGTTGAAGAGAGTCTCAAGCAAGATGTTACCTCCAGTGAAAACAGAGAGAGACTAATGCCTGTTTGCTGTGTAAAGAGGCTGGATGCCGCGCATTAAACTAGTCACTTTACCTTCAATTATGTTCAATAATTGTTAAAATGACTAAAAAATTGAATATTAAAGTTTTAAAATTATTGAATAGTATAAATTTCTTGATATTTACTAAAATAGTAAGGAATTTAAGCCCTAGAACCGATTAATGTATTGGCGGACTGATACTAAAGCTGGTTGCCCGGTCAGTGCAAGCGAAAACATGTTGAGGTCGGTTCGCAAGAACCTCGTTAACCGAATTTTTTTTCGTTAACCGAATTGAAGATCCTTATGGAAGGCAGTTCGTTAATCGAAATTACGTTAACCAAGGCGTTCGTTAAACGAGGGGTCACTGTAATTGAAATAGAGACCGGCTGACCCCCAAACTCCACTTTTTCCGACACAATACCTATGTTCTAGTAAAAATAACATCTTAATTTTATGATGGTACATGCACACAATTAATACTTAAGAAAAATAGAGAAATACAGTCGCCAAGTTAATGTCCATTCAAATAATGGACTCAACTCCCTCCCCCTCTTCTCACACTACACTCGCTGGCTCTTCCCTCTCTGAGAAATTTTTGGGGGAAAACCACTAGATTTTAAGGTATAGTAATAAATAATACCTCAAACTAAAGTTAGGATAATATAATTGACATTGCTGGATTCCTTGTAAGACCAGGAATGTTTTGAATATAAAGGGCCATATATTTTGCACAAAAGATAACATATTTACTCAGAGTAAACAAAATACTTACATTAGATCTAAAATTTGTATGTCTAATGCAAAATCTATGATGTTTATATTCAAAATGATCATCAAATTGTAAGAATTCCAGCAATGTAAATTATATTCTGGCCGGGTAATTTGTATGAATTTTATGAGCTAAAACAAATATCTTCAGTAAATAAAAAAAATATTCTTCACGACACTATCTGTCAATCAAAGTACCCCACCTCCCCCCTCTTCCAACCTGCGCCAGATGGTCGGGTCCCAACCCTCCCCCTCACCCCCCACCTTCCCTCCCTACCAGAGAAATGTTGGGTGAAAAAACTAGATTTTAACTTTTAGTAATAAATAATACCTCAGACTAAAGTTAGGATAATATAATTGACATTGCTGGATTCCTTGCAAGACCAGGAATATTTTGAATATACACTTCATATATTTTGCACAAAAGATAGCATATTTGCTCTGAGTAAACAAAATACTTGCATTAGATCTAAAATTTGTATGTCTAATGCAAAATCTATGATGCTTATATTCAAAATGATCATCAAATTGTAAGAATTCCAGCAATGTAAATTATATTCTGGCCGGATAATTTGTATGAATTTTATGAGCTAAATAAAAAAATTATACTTCACCGTGTAAAGGAGTACACGCACCGCGGAATGTGAGCATCCCGGGTTCTGGCAGGGTACCGCGTAAACGTGGAAACGCGGAATGTGGGACCGCGTAAAGCGAGGGTTGACTGTATTAGGAATAGTGGTTCATTATTACTGTATTTGGACATCCATGAAACTAACAGGTGAGACGGAAGCTGGAAACAAAGATGGTAATGTGTGGGATAAGGATATGTTTAGAGCAAATAATAAAAATAATAATGCAGGTATACAACCAACATATCTAGAAAATGAGGATATACAAACAACATAGAGTACTTACACAGTGCTGGTTTACAGTATGTATACCTAGACAGTACAGGTATACAATGTATGTAGACAGTGCAGGTATACACACAATAGTAAACAATAAGGCAAAATGACCAAGGATAGCCAGTAAAGCCATCAGCTGCATATTTCCAGTAGGAAACCTCTAAGTACAGTATGAGTAAAGTGAATATTTTTCTTTTACAGAAACACCATAATTTCATTCTTTTCTCTTCAACAGATACATCGTTCATGTACGTTATTTCGGTGCTCTCCATGCTCAAGATCTACCAGACACGTCACCCTGATATCAATGCCAGTGCCAGTGCGGTATTTGCTGCTTTGGCTGCAGCAGTCCTCCTTGGGGTCATTGGTGTCTTAGCAGGGACTCTTGTGTTTTTGATCATATTTGGCCTCATACATGTGATATCATGCCTCCTGCTGTCATGTCACGTGTATTACATGGGCAGGTGGAAGTGCGGTAAGTGAGGTCAGTTTTCCATTCATGAATGTAATACATTATTACACAATATTTTTTTAATTGTTTATTTATCATTCCACCACTTATCAACTTAAGAAATGTGCTAGACTTATAAGATTCTTTCTCCTCTACAGATTTAGGGCTTTTCAAACGTATGAAAACTTGGTGTTTAAGTGAACTCAGTGACTGGCGACAAATTTGCCGTCCCATGTATTGTGATCGCATGGTGTTGTTGCTGATAGGGAATGCAGCAAATTGGGGTTTGGCCATCTATGGAATAGTATCCACTCCCAAAGATTTTGCCTCTTACCTGCTCATTATATTCCTCACCAACCTGCTCCTGTATATTGCATTCTACATCATAATGAAGGTAAGTGGTTCCTTTGGTGGTGTACTATGCATTTTGAAACACCTTACTGGTTATTATATACAGGGGCCCCCTAAATTCACAGATTTTAATTTTGCGGTCCTCTACTATTCGTGGATGACACTCTGGATGTACCCAAGAATGTCTGTGGGTAGTTTTAAAGTTGCTGACATTTCTGCGGCTGAGACAGAGAGCCATTCGTTCTTGAGACAGTAATTTCCTTTATCTGTATTTTATATATATATGTGTGTGTAGACACACACACATTATTATTGTTAATACATAAACACATACAAATAATAGTAATTTTCCACAGTTTCATTAAGTAACAATTTATTGTAATGAGTCTACTCAAGTCCGTGCTTTTATTAATAAAGTAATAAAGCACAGTCATGTGGTAGACTGTCACATTTTTGGTAAATTTGTTTCTGATTTTTTGTGAGAGAATTTGCCCCATTATTATTTATTTGTATGTGTTTTGTGTGGGAGTCTCTACACACACACACACACACACACACATAGTATACAATACAGGTAAAAGAAATAATTGTTCTAAGGGCAAACACATAAAGGGAATATATATTTCTTTGTACACAAGTAAAATCTAACAACCCCCACCCCGGTCAGCAAATGCTAACGTGATTGGCTGGATTCAATGGCCATTTGAACTAATTCCCCGCTGAATTTGGGGGTCCTCGTGTGTGTGTATATATATATATATATATATATATATATATATATACAGTCAACCCTCACTTTAAGTGGTCCCACATTCCGCATTTCCACGTTTACGCAGTGCCCTGCCAGAACCCAGGATGCTCACATTCCGCGGTGGGTGTACCCCTTTACACGGTGAAGTATAATTTTTTTATTTAGCTCATAAAATTCATACAAATTTTCCGGCCAGAATATAATTTACATTGCTGGAATTCTTACAATTTGATGATCATTTTGAATATAAACATCATAGATTTTGCATTAGACATACAAATTTTAGATATAATGCTTACTCTGAGTAAATATGTTATCTTTTGTGCAAAATATATGACATTTATATTCAAAATATTCCTGGTCTTACAAAGAATCCAGCAATGTCAATTATATTATCCTAACTTTAGTCTGATTTATTATTTATTACTAAAAAGGTAAACAGTCTGGTATTCCCACACATTCATCTGGTAGGGAGGGTTGGTGGGGGGTGGGAGGGAGGGAGGGACCGGCGACCAACCACCTGGCACTTGGTCATGGTGTGAAGAATTTTTTTTTATTAACTGAAGATATTTGTTTTAGCTCATAAAATTCATACAAATTACCCGGCCAGAATATAATTTACATTGCTGGAATTCTTACAATTTGATGATCATTTTGAATATAAACATCATATTTTTGCATTAGACATACAAATTTTAGATATAATGTTTACTCTGAGTAAATATGTTATCTTTTGTGCAAAATATATGACATTTATATTCAAAATATTCCTGGTTTTACAAGGAATCCAGCAATGTCAATCATATTATCCTAACTTTAATCTGAGGTATTATTTAATACTAAATGTTAAAATCTAGTTTTTTCACCCAACCTTTCTCTTGAAGGGAGGGTTGGTGGTGGGTGGGGGGGGAGGGTTGGGACCGACCGACCATCTGGCACTTGGAAGAAAGGGGGAGGCAAGGTGGGGTACTGTGATTGACAGATAGTGTAGTGAAGAATATTTTTTTTTTTATTAACTGAAGATATTTGTTTTAGCTCATAAAATTCATACATAGATTCTGCATTAGACATACAAATTTTAGATATAATGTTTACTTTGAGTAATTATGTTATTTTTTGTGCAAAATATATGACATTTGTATTCAATATATTCCTGGTCTTACAAGGAATCCAGCAATGCCAGCAATATATATATATATATATATATATATATATATATATATATATATATATATATATATATATATATATATATATATATATATATATATATATATATATATATATATATATATATATATATATATATATATATATATATATATATATATATATATATATATATATTTCCCGTGAATGTATTATATCAAGCACAGTATGAATAGAATATCACTAATATAACAGTATTTCAACCAAAAACTATTAAAATAATGAGTAACATATCTTGAACATCGGAAGGTTAGGTAAAGTCTTTTGTTTTCATGTAGTTTATCCTAATTTACATTGAAATCAATACGTTTCAGCAAAACTACTATTTATTTCTGAGAATATGGAAATGTAATATTTTTGCTGAAATGACGTACGTATTACAGTGGAAAGTGACGAAAGCAATGACTTTCGCTTTCTTCCGTTCAAAAGATATTACCGAAATCGCTTTTCGAATGGTTTTCATTTAAGAAACTGTTGTATTACAATAATATTCTAGCCTAATTCACTTGTGATGCAACAGTTTTTTAACTGAAAACCATTCAAAAAGCGATTACAGTAACATCTTTTGAACGAAAGAAAGCGAAAGTCATTGCTTTCGTCACGATTTTATCCCACTTTCCACTGTAATACGTACGTCATTTTAGCAAAAATATTACATTTCCGTGAATGCAGTATATCAAGCACAGTATGAATAGAATATCATTGTAATATAACAGTATTTTAACCGAAAACTATTAAAAAAATGAGTAACATCTCTTGAACATTGGAAGGTTAGGTAAAGTCTTTTGTTTTCGTCATGTATTTCATCCTATAAATACATCAAGTTTCAGCAAAACTACTATTTACTTCTGAGAATATATTCATTCAGGCACAGTTTAGGTAAAATATACATGTGATGTAACATTTTTTAACTGAAAACGATTCGAAAAACACGTACCCTCTAGCCCTGTTCAAGGAGAAGACTGGGAGGAGCTGTTTTGTGCTGAAGACGATGACAAGGAAAATGATTTTGATAGATTTTAATGAAAATATTGAGAAATATGGTATCATAGTATTTATTCAAGTGAATTAGGATAGAATATTATTGTAATACAACAGTAGTGACGATGTGGAGGAGGCGGAGGGCTAGAGCGGGGAGGAGTGGTGACTGGCGGGAGCAGGGACGAGTGGAGATGCCAGCCAGTACATTACGGGTGTACAGTATTAATTGTTTTTATAGCTCTTTTCGCATTTTAATATTAAATACTGTACATTACGTTTCAACAAAACTACTATTTATTTCTTAGAATATGGAAATGTAATATTTTTGCTGAAATGACGCACGTATTACAGTGGAAAGTGGGATAAAATTGTGACGAAAGCAATGACTTTCGCTTTCTTTCGTTCAAAAGATTTTACCGTAATCGCTTTTTGAATGGTTTTCAGTTGTGGGATTATGAGGCTAATGATAGGATAGAATATTATTGTAATACAGTACAGTACAACAGTTTTTTAACTGAAAACCATTCGAAAGCGATTACGGTAAAATCTTTTGAACAACGAAAGAAAGCGAAAGTCATTGTTTTCGTCATGATTTTATCCCACTTTCCACTGTAATATGTATGTCATTTCAACCAAAATATTACATTTCCATATTTATTTCTGAGAATATATTCATTCAGTCACAGTTAAGGTAAAATATACTTGTGATGTAATATTTTAATGAAAATACGGTATCATAGTTTTCTTTTGTTTCAAATTTAATCAAAGATTGATGTTTCAAATGTAATGAGCAAAAATTTATGTCCAGTATCTATAAATACACTTTAAAAAATAAATACTTTGTTTTACATCGTCCTGTGCTACCATACCATGCATTTGGCTACTTTGGGCTTGCTATGATGACGCAAGAGATCTGCCCTGGCAACTGTACCGACAGTCACAGCTGGTGGTGCGTTGGTGCGTCGTTTCCATTGTTAACTGGTAAATATTTTTCAACCTAACGAAACTATTACCTGTTTAGAGGTTGACCCCCAATTTTTTGCCAAATAATTTGGTCTTAAAAACTCGAACTACACACAGGTGTATACGGTAAATTAGGACATGGGGGCCAGGGGTTTTTTAGGTGGGGGTGGGCAGCAAAAGTACATGGATTTTTTACATTCACGGGTATCTCTGTTACCTAACCCCCGCGTATGTTAAGGGCCGACTGTATATACAGTGAACCCTCACTTTACGTGGTTAATTCAACCCACGGAAGCCCGCGTAAAGTGAGAAACGCGTAAACTGAACAACATAACATATGGGATTAATTGAAATAGAGACCGGGCCGACCCCCAAACTCCACTTTTTCCCGACACAATACATACGTTTTACTAAAATAACCTCTTAACTTTATGATGGTATTCACCCACACATAATATAGAAGGGAACAGTCAATAAGAGAAGAATAAAATGAAGGTTAGATTAGAAAAAAACAAGGCTGGGGTTAACACTTACGTTAGTAGAAGAGATGGGTTGGCGTAGGGGAATGGAGGCTGGTTCCGAGGCAGAGAGCAGGCTACTGGCCCTCAGGTGAGTCTTCATCGGTGTCATCCACACTTACTAGTGCCTCCCTGACAAATCCCTCAAAGTCATCATCACTGTCTCTACCTCTGTCACTATCACTGGCTTGGGCTGGCTGTGGTGGGTTGCGGGCGAAGAACTCTGTTATGCTTTGCTGACGGCTGGTGTTTATGTTGTCGTGATAAACCTTGATGTAGGGCTCCATAGTCTGCAACAGCTGGGTAGTGAAAATTTCATACCTGTTTGCGTCAGGGTTGTCGGAAAGGAGGAGCTTGGCTTTCTCGATACACTCGATGGCACCCCTAACATTACTATGGGATAAGCGGCGTTCTTCTTGGGATGACGCACCACCTGCCTCTTCACTGACGTCATCATCATGTACCATCTCGTCGGTAGTCACATAGGATCCCTTATCACCTACAGGATGTTGTCATTGGTGGTCTCGGAGAAGCCTGCAGCTGTAACACTCTGCGCAGCTTCTCTGACAAGGTCCACTGCTACTGCAACAGTCTGAACCTCACCAGTCACAGATTGACTCA